CCAGAGCCGGGTGGCTGACACCAGGATCCAACACTTTTCTTTGGATAAAGCAGGATAAACAGGACCAGTGACCTCGGCTCACCTCTCGTCCCTCGCCACACAGCCCGAGCCAACGTGAGAGGGTGGCTGCTGGTCCTGTGTCATGGGATCATGGAATATCCGGGGTTGGAAGGGATCCACAATGAGCATCAAGTCCAACTCCTGGCCTTGCACAGGACACCCCAAAAGTCACCTGAGTGCGTTATCACCTGAACAACAACTCCTCAGCATTTTGGGGGTTCCTGGGCTGGTGCTGTCTATTCTCATAAATCCTTGTGGAATCTCACTTTTTGGGGATGACTCTTTCTAAGAATAGCCACCAGGAACAGGCTGGACACACAAATCTGGCTTTAATCTACATTAATTGGGGTGTTTTAACATGTTGTCCCAAGGTCTGGTGACAAGATAATAAAGTCCTCACCTTGTCCGACACGTCTGCATCCCCCATCCTGCCCCTTCCCCCAGAGGGCTAATCTGGTCAGGATAAAGGATCAAAAGGAGAAACAATTAGCAAATGGAAGAATTTAATGATGCTAATTAAAATGTATTAAGTGTAGCCACTGCCTCTGCACCAGCTGCTTTGGCAGGAGCCCTGAGAACGCGGAGCGCCAGCCTTGCCCCGGTGCGGGGTGGGATAACGGGACATCTGGTGCCCCCCTTCCCCCCCGGCCCCCGAAAAAGAGGTTTGAGGAAACCTCGGTGTTCGTGGTGGAGCCCTTAATTAGCTCCATCTCTGCAGGAGACCCCTGGGACCTCATTAGGCTTTTCAATTAGTGCCTGGCCAGCCGGAGCAGGGGGGCCGAGGGAGGGGGGAGGTGGCTGCAATTAAGCAATCGGGAGGAGGTGACAGAAGCAGCCCCACGTCCAAAAACCAGTCGGGAAAGCTCCAAGCTGGCTCCCAGATGCTCCCGCGCCCAGAGCCAGCACTCCCAGGAGTTTGTTCCCAACGAGCCCTTCAGTAGGTGTTCAGCTCCTGGCAATAAACCCCACGAGGGCTGCAGCCTGGGGGGGTCGCTCGGAAAACGTTTTAAACCTTCTCACGGATTCGGGGAATGGTTTGGATTGGGAGGGACCTCAAAAACCATCCAGCCCCACCCCTCTGCTGTGGGCTCAGACACCTTCCCCTAGACCAGGCTGCTCCAAGGCCTGTCCAGTCTGGCCTTGCGCACTTGCAGGGATGCAGCAGCCAGTTCCACCCCGAGCACAGCTCCCTGCTAATTCCTCACCAGGACCATCCCCAGCCAGCAGGCACCAGGCACTTCCCGAGCTTCGTTTCACTCTGGGAACAGGCAGCAATGATGGTGAACATGATTTACCAAGGATGCAGCTGCTCATTTCCAGTCCCAGCTCCATCATTCCCACGGATGCTCCCAGCTCTCCCGGCTGGCCGTGCCTCCATGGGGACCCCACGGGCACACTGTCCCCTGTTCCAGCTGTTTTGTGCCTCTCAGCTAAGGCAGGATCCAGCTGTCCCACCTCTCTTCACAACATGCTATCCCTTCCCTCTGCTGCCAACACTCTGTGGGACATCATTCCCTCCCTGACCTTTTCCTCTTCCCTGGATGTGATTGGGATGCACCTCGTGAAGAAACGGTGGCAGCAGCATCATCTCATTTCTCATGAGAAGAATTGGGGCCTCTGGCTGTAAAACTGAGGGGCTTTGGTTCAAGTTTGAAAAGTGAGATCTTGTAACTGGAAAATCATGTAGTCATGGAATGGTTTGGGTTGGAAAGCACCTTACAGATCACCCCATTCCTCCCCCCTGCCACGGGCAGGGACACCTTCCACTAGCCCAGGTTGTTCCAAACCCCGTCCAACCTGGCCTTGGACACTTCCAGGGATCCAGGGGCAGCCACAGCTTCTCTGGGCAACCTGTGCCAGGACCTCACCACCCTCATGGGGAAAAATTTCCTCCCAGTATCCCACCTAAGCCTGCCCTCTGGCAGTGGGGAGCCATTCCCCCTTGTCCTGTCCCTCCAGCCCTTGTCCCCAGTCCCTCTCCACCTCTCTTGGAGCCCCTTTAGGTACTTCCAGGGAGCCAAATATTGCTGGGGAGTGTCCTAAGTCTCCAACACCCCAGGCTGACCAGCTCCATTTCACCTCCCAGCTCAGGACAAGTTAAATCATGGAAAACATCATCAAAAACTAGTCCAAAACAGAGCAATGGGGCTACCAGACCTTCTTGTCATATTAGCCCAAATGGAAACACACTGGATATCCAGTTTTTGTCTGCAACAAAAACAAACCCCAGAGTTTTCCTCTTCTAGAATCATGGAATGGTTTAGGTCGGAAGAGACCCTAAAGACCAATTTGTTCCAATCCCCTGCCATGGGCAGAGACACCTCCTGTAGAAGCACCTCCCAGTGGACAAATAAAAGCCAGAAGGACCCATTTTCCATGGATAACCACTCTGAATTCAGCAGTTTCATCCAGCTGCATTGCTGCAGGCATGATGGATATATTGATCCTATGATCCGTTCAACCACGACAGATCCAGCGGGTCTACCCAAGGCTGGAGCAACACATCACTGGCCTCACCCTCTCCCCCAAGGAGCAGCGAGGCCAGGAGGGTTTGGTGAGCAGTTCCTTCTCCTCTGGCAGGGATAATCCCATCCCGTCTCATCTCCGGAGCACTGCGAACGCACTGCAACAGATGTTCCTTTTCCGTATGGGAAAACGCAGAGTAAAACAAAGGAATATTCTCCTGCTGAAGCCCAACATCTGTTTGAAGCTGTCTGGCTCCGGTTCAGATTTAATTCTTGTGACAGGTCTCTTCATGCCTTTAATTTCCCATGAAATCCAATTCAAGGAGCTGTTTGTGCACAGCCCGCTCCCAGTGTCGGGGAGAGCGAGGCCACATGCCATCCAGGCGTCCCTCACCCCAAACCACTTTCCTGGAACACTTTCTCTTAAAAAAGCCCCGTTTTGGCTCTTTTCAGGCGACGGCCACGCACGTTTTGGGCGACACCCTAATCCCCTCCACCCTGGTGCTCGCCTGACCGCGCGACGCGTGGCTGCTCCTCCCGGGTGCTCCTGCAGAGGATGGAGCTCCTTCCCAGAACCTGCACTTTTTTATTTTCTTTGAAAGCAAGAAATTTAAATAATTTGGAGTGCGGAATGGAAGTGCCTCCCGGATTTGGGGTTGTCTTGGGTGTGATGATGGTAATGGTGCTGCGGGCACTGGGAGGATTCAGTGGTGGTGGCACCAAGCAGCTGCATGAGCTGCACTCACTGCCCATGGCTCCCAACTAGCCAGGACCCCTGGGAGCAGTGATTTTGGGAGCTCTAGGATGCTCCAAGCTGGGAATTTCAGCTGTCCGTATGGTGGTCCTGCACTGGATGGAGAAGCCATGCTCCTGCTGCAGGTCCCACTGCTGTTTGCAGAAGGCATCAGGAGCTTTCACAAGGTTTTGGGAGCCGGCGTTGGCCCCAGATGTGTCCTCGGGGCTCAGCCAAGGGCCCCTCAGCTGGGGGCACAGGTCACAAGTGAGTTTTTGATAGTTCTGCCCAGCTCTGATATGAAAATCCTCAAATCCAGGTGTCATCTGCTGGAGTTATACACGCCAATGTCTTGTTCATCTAGAAAACACAGATGCATCTTCCTTAAGGACACCAAGATGGTCCCTTTCCCCTCTACCTGCAGACAGGCACCTACTGCTGCTCCAAAAATACTTCCTTGGTGGCTTCTCAGCACTGGAAAGGGAAAGGGAAATGTCAAAACAGGAGTAAAAGACATCACTGATCCCCAAAGGAGTCGAAGTCCCACCAGACCCAGCAGTGCAGGATGGGCTCACCTGTCACCGACGGTCAGGACGTCACCACCACCATAGCTGGGGGACATCACAGTCCCCAAAATGCAGGAGGGGTGTGGGTAGAGAGGGCCCTGGGAGAAGGGAACTGGGCAGGAAATTTGGAAAGGGAATGGAACAGGACTATGAACTGCACAAATCAGCTCTGGATGGGTGCAGCTCGGAGTCAATCTGAAACAGAAAGAAAATTGTGAGTTCCAGGGGAAAATTGAGGGGTTTTTCCTGTTAAAATACAGGGAGAGGGAGGAATTGTGATGGGCCCAAATATTGAACTGATTGAGGACTTCAGGTGAGTTGAAAATCCATTGGGTTGATTTTGTGCTGGTCCTTTTTCATCCCAATCTTTTCATCCCTGGTTTGGAAGAAGCAGGCACGGAGCATCCAGTGTGCTCCAGTAACTCCCACTTCCCTTCTTGAGCACCTCCTGAACGGATTCACCCAATCCCCCACATCCTGCTGCCTGGATCACTCCAGCACCCCAAAATGGACACTCCAAAATCAACCTGTGCCCATTGACAAAGGTGTTCAGGGGATGCTGGACCTCTGGAGTGGGACTGGAGGCCCATCCCGAGATGTTTCCCAGGACACACAAGGAGCGAGCACTTCCCGCATGGACCACGCTCACACAGTGAGTTGCAGCTGTAGTTTTATTTCCTTTTGTGAAAAATAACAGGATTTCGAGGTGATAAAAACATAACCCCCCCCGGGGCTCAGCCCCAGACCCTGCCCACCCCGGCACGACCGCGGGCAGAAGCAGCACCGATGGAGCAGCATCCCCAGGACAGGATCCGGCTCCTTGCCAGGACAGAGCGAAGGTGGGAGCCGGGGATGGGAGCAGAGCCACAGGATGGGAGGATCTGGGAGCAGGTGGAGGCATTCCTGCTCTCGGATCCAGGATGGAATGCCGGCTCCAGCACAACACTGGCCGTGTTCAGTGCTGGCACCACCGTGCTGGTGTCATCCCTGTGCCCCACGGCAGAGATGGGCAACTGGCTCGTCCCACGGAGATTCCCATCGTCGGCAGCTTGTGGAGGGTCTATTTCATTATTTTTTTTTCCATTTTTTCCGTTTTTTTAATAAAAACAGTCTTTAGGTCGACTGCTGGCAGCAGCTCTGAGTAGAAAGCCCCTTCCTCCAGAGTCTGCTTCCAGAAAGTTCAGAAAGGGTCAAATATTGACCAATAATGGTTTTGGCTGCGTTTGAATCTTGATTGTGGCTTCTGCAATGTACAGCGGGGAGGGGACAGGAGGACGGGACCAGGGGGGATGAGGTTTCTCCCTTAGTCAGCAGGTTTGGTGACCAGGGAAAGGGGCTGCGTCTGCAGCACGGCCAGGGCAGCCGGGATGGAGCCAGGGGGCGAGGAGAGGAGAGCCGTGGGGGGCACCGAGGTGAAGGGGATGGGTCTGGAGAGGAGTGAGGGCGGGCTGCTGAGGCTGGAGGAGGAGGAGGAGGAGGAGGAGGAGGAGGAGGAAGAGGAGGAGGAAGAGGAGGAAGAAGAGGAGGCTTTGCTGGAGAGTACGGTGGAATGCACAGCGAGCTGAGCCCTGGCCTCTGGCTTGGTGGTGAGCGAGAGCGGCTGGGCCTGTTCCGAGTGGGTGGGAGCGGGCGCGGCCGGCGAGGCCAGCGCGGCCGACGGCGTGGCGGGCGAGTCCAGCATGCTGCCGTGGGACGAGGCCGGGCTGGCACACGGCTTCTCGGCCGGCAGGTACGGCACACACGGCTTCTTGCTCTTGGCGGGCAGGGAGCCTGGGGGACACGGGCACAGCGTGAGCGGCCGGAGCCCGGAGCAGGGGGAGGACGGGGGGTGGGTACTCACTGTCCGTGTCGTGGCTTTGCTGCTGCGCCAGCTTCTCCCGCTTTCGCTTCTTCTTCTTGCCCTGGAAAAGACGATTTCAGGTTCTTCCACGGCTTTTGGCTGCCCGTGGCGGGGAGCTGGGCTGACGCTGCCCCAGAGCATCCGCAGGGACTTGGCATCATCACCAACCACCCCCAGCACCCCAAACCAGCCAAACCCTGGGAGAGGGGCCCTCTGGGGGGGTGGCAGCAGGGACTGCAGGGGACACACGTACGTAGTTGTCCCGCGCCGACCAGGTCGGGTAGAGTTGTGAGTGCAGCTGCCGCTCCTTCCGCGCCAGCTCGTAGTACTTGGCCTGTTCCTCCCGCGACAGCGAGTGCCACTGCAGGGAGACACCGTGCTGGAGACCCCAGAGCCACGCCAGGAACCCCAAAGCTAGGCTGGAATCCCCAAATCCGTGCTGCTGACCCCGAGGACATAATGTCCTGGGCTGCAGAGGTCCACTCCTCCCCATCCTGATGCCACCCAGGTCCCCACCACCTCCCTGGGACTCCCTGGGCTGGCAGAGCCCCAGCTCCAGGGACGGATCCATGGGGAGAAGTGGAGCCGGGCTGTGTGGAGGGTCCCTGGCAGGGAGATCCCAACCATACCCGCCGGCCCAGGATCTGGTTGATGGCAGCGCTCTCCTTCAGCGTGCACTCAGCCACCACCTTGGCCCTCATCTCCTTCATGTACAGCATGAAGGCATTGAGAGGCTTCTTGATGTGGGGCTTCTTCTCCTCCTCCTTCTTCACTGCCACAGGGGATTTCCTGGAAGGAGCAGGATGGGGGGTCAGGACCCCCAGATCAAGCCCCTGTCCCCATGGTTGGCCCCAGCCCCCACTCACGAGCTGCCTCCAGGGCTGGCGCTGGGCTGGGTGGGCTCCTGCTTGACGATGGGCGAGACAATGGTGGGGTGTGGGATGCCTGAGGGGTGCAGCCCATGGGTGGGCGGTGGGACCATGTGTGGGGAGAAGCGGCTGGACATCAAACTGCAGAGGGGGGAGAGGACAGGAGGAGTGGTCACCTCCCCACAGGCACCTACAGATCCCCCTGAGAACCTCCCGGGCTGAGAGACCACCAGCCTCAAGCCAGTTAAGTTAGAAACCCCCAAACCATGCTGGAACTCCAAATCCACGCTTCAAGCCCTGAAATCAACCCTGGAAACCACAAATCAACCCTGGAAACCACAAATCCACTCTGCAAACCCCAAATCCATGCTGCAAACCCCAAAGCCATGCTGGAAAACACCAAATGCACACTGCAAACTGCAAATCCACAGTGCAAACCCCGAAGCCATGCTGGAGACCCCAAATCCACCCTGGAGACCCCAGATCCACCCTGGAGACCCCAGATCCACCCCAAAGCCCACAAATCCTGCCCCATCTTTGAGATGGGGACACAGACCCAACCTAAGTGATGTCCTGAGCCCATGGGATGTCACATCCCTCCACCTGCAGGGGACCATCCGCTCCCTCCAGAGGGGGGATCTTCATGCAAGGGGAACACCCCAATCTTCTGGGACTGGTCTGTGCCTGTGCATTTTCTGCAGGGAAGTGTCCCAAAACCCACCCCCAGCTCCGGGATGCCCACGAGGGTCCCTCCCCCTTCCAAGACCCACCTGGACATGGAGGCATTCATGGCGAGGGCGGGATAGGGGTGCCGGAAGCCACCAGGAGGGATGGAGTACACGGGCTGTCCTTGCCTGCAAAAACACGAGTTTCAGCGGAAAAAAGATCCCTTCCCGGTTCACGGGGATCCTCGGACTGGTCTCCAGCTATCTCCATCTAGGTGATCCCCAAATTTTCCAGCGGTGGGGAGCCTCTCCCTTCCCACCCGCCACAGGAGCCTGCGGCATCATGCGGAACTCGCGGGGGAAAGTGGGAAGAGGAGGAGGGTCTCAGGGGGCTGTGGGGCTTCTGGGATTCACAGGGACACAGAGGTGAGAGAGAACCCCCTGCCGGGGCCGGTCCATCCTTACTGTGGCACGAGCCAGCCCAGTGGGTGCGGGAGCTGCCCCACGGCTCCGGGGGACAGCGGGTAGTAGGGGGGCAGCTCAGGGGGGTGCGGCGGCCGCGGGATCCCTGCGAGGGAGAGAGGGGGACAGAGCAGGGGGTTAGAGCAGGGGCACAGCAGCCTCGGGGCTCCCCACTGTCCTCCATGCCGTGACTGCCTCCAGCACCCTCCCTTTGAGCACCCCAGCTCCCACTGAGCACCTTGTCTGCCTCCAGCACCCTCCCTTTGGGCACACATTTCCCTCCCAGCACCCCATCTCCCTTGGAGCACCTGGTCTGCTGCCAAGCAACCCACCTGCCTCAGAGCACCCTGTCTCCCTCCCAGCACCCGTCACCGCAGGCTGGGGAGAGGCTGCTGAGACACCCACAGCACAGCCCTGGGGGGGATCCCCACACCCCAGCTCAATCCATCACCAGGTGAGGACCCAGCCCCAGCCCCCTCCCAGGGACAGGGTTGAGACCACCCAGGAGGCAGAAGAACCACCCAATGGAGAGCCCCTCGTTCCCAGCACAGCACCCACACCCTCACGTTCCCTTTGCTCCCCCAAACGTGTCCCCCACCCTGTGCTCACCCGTCTTGGGGTCGATCTCCGGGGAGAGGTGGCCGGGCGGGGACCCCGGCGGGAAGGGGTCGTTGCTGTAGGTGATGAGCGGCGTCAGCGGGTGCATGTGATGGCCGTGCTGCACCACCGGGACCTTGTTGGACTGCGGGGAGAGCGCATGGGAGGGCAGGACAACGGCCACCCCCCAGGAACACCCCCCGGGCAGCAGTGCCAGGCCTGCCCCACCCCTGGGAGTGCTCCAGGCCAGGTAGGACGGTGCTTGGAGCAACCTGATCTAGTGGAAGGTGTCCCTGCCCAGGGCAGGGGGGTGGGACTGGGTGGTCTTTAAGGTCCCTTCCAACCCAACCCGCTTCCTGATTCCATAATTCCAGGAGCATGGGGGGGGCGCTGGGAATTCCCCACCCTGCAGGAAGGGGCTGTTCTTACCAGGTGTGCGGGCGAGGGCGAGCGGCTGTCCTTGAGCGTGGCCCCGGCCGGCACGTCCAGCAGCGGCCACTTCATCTGCAGGTACTGCGGGAGGGACGGGACGATGGCCTCCAGCAGCCCCACACGCCCTCGGCCCCAAAACACCCCCACTGGCTCCAAAACACTCCCTGCCCCTGCACCAGTCCTGAAACATTACCCCCACCCCGAAACATCCCAGCCCCAAGCACCCTCTACTGCAAAACACTCCCAGCCCCATAACACTCCCTGCCACAAAACACCCCTGGCCCCAAAACACCCCCTGTCCTCTAAATACCCCTAGTCCCAAAACACCTTCAGCCCCAAAACATCACCCCAGCCCCAAAACACTCTTACAGCCCCCCCAAAAAACCCTGGTCCCAAAAGATTCCCCAGCCCACAAACTACCCCCCCCAGCCATAAAACACCTCCAGCCCTAAAACATTCCCCAGGCCCTTAAAACGCCCCTGGCCCCAAAACATTCCCTCACCCTGAAACAACAGCCTGGCCCCAAAATATTCCCTGGTCCCGCCTGCACTGGCTGGAGATACCTCAAGCCATGGAGGACACCATGGGCTGATGGCAAAGAGGTTTTGGGGGGACAAAAGGAAGTTTTCAACCCTATGTGCCTCTACAGACCCCAGTAATGGTGCAAACCCCCAAATCCCAAATTGCACAAACCCCTAATTCCCAAATCTCTGCCCCAAAGAGTGCTAAGGCTCAAACTGCAACCCCCTCAAAACCTAAACCCCAAATGGTGACAAACCCCAAATCTTAAATCCCAAATCTCACCCCAGTGGTGCTGCCTCTCCCTGGGAGGTCCCTGTGCCTGGGGGTGCCCCCCCTGTCCCCCGTCCTTGGGGTACCATCATCAACCCCAAATTTTTGGCATGCAAGAAATCAGTCCCATACTGAGAGGGGAGGGGACAAATACAGGGGGTTTGGAAGTGTTTGGGGGTTTTTTCCCCATCCAAGGTTAAATCTTGCTATGACAATGGGGTGTCTGCCCAGTAGCCCCCCAAAGAAAGGCACTTTGTGTAGTGTTTGGGGGGGCCGAAGGCGTTTCCCACAGACAGCAGGAGGGAGGGAAGGTCCCTGGAGATGCCGGGGGCTCGAGAATGTGGGAATGTGGCTGGAGCAGCTGCCTGCAGGAATTTCCCCACATACAGACCTTCCTGAGCTGAGGCAGCTGGAAGGAAAACCCAGGAGGAGTTTGGGGGAGTGTTAACCCTTCCAGGGCTGGCAGGTTCCTCCCCACTTGCATTGCCTCCTGCCACCCCCGAAGTGTCCTGTGTCCCCTCTGCAACACCTCCTGCTGTCCCTGAGTCTCCACCATCCCCCTCCTGCATCTCCAGTATCCCATCTATCTCCTCCTGCACTCCACATCCCATCCAGCACCTTCCCTGCATCCCCTCCTGTGCCTTCAGTATCCCTGCCTCTATCTCCAGGATCCCCTGTTGCACCTCCAGTATCCCACCACTGCATTTCCAGTATCCCCTCCTCTGCATCTCCATTATCCCCCCATCTCCAGTATCCCCCCCTGCATCTCCAATATCCCACTCCTGCATTTCCAGTATCCCACACACCTTCAGTATCCTCCTTCTGCCTCCAGTAACCTCTCCATCCCCAGCATCCCCCCGCTCCATCCCCAGTATCCTGCTCCATCTCCAGCACCCAGAACCCCCCCTCACACCCTCTCCCTGCTGCACCCTGGGACCCCCCACGCAGGACCCCCTCGGCACAGCACGGTCCCAAAGCCAAGACGAGAATTCCCCACGATCCAACCATTCCCACAGCTGCAGGCACATGGATGCCCAGAAACCTGCTTCACTGCCTGCCCCAGGTGCCACCAGGGCACTCCTCACCCCTATCCCAGCACAGGGATGCTCCAGTGCCTCCATGGGGAGACTTTTGGCACTGCTGGGATAATCCCACTGGTGTCAGGAGTCAGGACTGGATCTGTCCCTTGGCAGCTGGTTGTGGAGGAGGTCACGAGCAAGGACACCACATTCCCACATGGGTGGCACATGGGTGACCCCCTGACCCTGGCTCACCGTGACCCACCAGCTCAGCATCACCTGTGGGCTGTCACCCACAGGCTCGGTGTCACTCGTGGGCTCATTATCACCTATGGGCTGACTCACTATCACCTGTGGCTGTCAACTGTGGGCTGTCACCGGTGGACTCACTGTCACCCCTGGCTGTCACCTGTGGACTCACTGTCACCCACGGGCTCACTGTCACTCAAGGCTGTCACCTGTGGGCTTACTGTCACCTATGGACTCACTGTCACCCATGGGCTCACTGTCACTCAAGGCTGTCACCTGTGGGCTTACTGTCACCTATGGACTCGCTGTCACCCACGGGCTCACTGTCACTCAAGGCTGTCACCTGTGGGCTTACTGTCACCTATGGACTCACTGTCACCCATGGGCTCACTGTCACTCGTGGCTGTCACCCACAGGCCCGCTGTGACCCGTGGGCTCACCATGGCTCATGCATTCACCATCACCCCGGGCTTGCCATGACCCGGCTCTCCTTAGGATGCAGGAGCTGTTCCTGCAGTGCCAGCTTTGATGACCCTCCAAATCCGGGGGATCCAAGGCACAGGGACAGCCCCACAGCCATGCTCAGGGTGATGTCCGAGGTGCCTCCCCTTGCAGCCCTGCAGGGGTGACACTGGGGACCCCCCACCTTCCCCCTGCCCATCCCCATCCAAGCAGCCCCAAGCACTGGACGAGAACCCCCCGTCATCCCCATGACCACGCGCAGGGCAAGGCAGGAGATGCCTCCCCAGTGCTGAGGGGGCTCCCTGGCCCCCCCTCAGGACCCCCTGCCCATCACAAAGGGGCTTTCTGGGCCGCTCTGTAAGCGGAGAAGGCGCGAGGGGATGGGGACGGGCGGGGAGGCAGCGGCGGGGGAAGGTTTGGGGGATAAAAGGCTGATTCTCATTTCGAGGCCATTTCGGGAGGCTGGGCAGGGGAGGGGGGAAGGGAAGAGGGGGGACCCTTTCAAAATATACAAAGAGGGGGGGAGCTGGTGAATGGTTCAGTGGTGATGTGGAAAAATGACCCCCCCTGACCCTTTTCCTTCCCCATCCCTCAGCTCCAGCTGGGACACAGCCCCCACTGTCCCCCCCACCCCCGTCCCCCACGTGGGGATTGGAGCTGTGAAATAGCAACAAAAAAAAGAGGAAAATAGTTGAAAATCGGTCACATTCCAGAGAGATTAGAGCCAGTCCTGGGTCCTCGTTACCAGCCAATTAAAAACAGGGATAACCCCTTCCCTGCCGGAGCCCGTCCCTCTGGGAACCCTCTGGGAGCCCCCAGACCCCGGAGGAAGGGGAACCGGGGGATCCCCTGGTGCCCAATTAAGGGTGTTCATGACAGGATTTCCACTCCTCTTCTGCACAGGGATCGATCCAGCTGCAATGGTTTCCTTGGGAAGGGGGAAAAGTGCTGGCTGGGGCTGGGCTGGGGCTGCATGTCCTGGTGTGGCACATCCGGGTGGGAGTTGTGTGTCCCAGGATTGCACGTCCTAGCGTGTCATGTCCTGGTGTCGTGTCCCAGGGATATCCCAGGACTGCACATCCCAGCATTCCACATCCTGGTGTTGCAGATCCTGGCATTCCATATCCTGCTATTGCGGATCCCAGCTTTCCGTGTCCCAGTGCTGCACGTCCTGCTGCTGTGTGTCCCAGCGTGCCATGTCCCAGGATTCCACATCCTGGTGCCTCATGTCCCAGGACAGTGTGTCCCAGCTCTCCACATCCCAGGATTGCACATCCTGACCTTGCATATCCCAGCATTGTTTGTCATGGTGCCTCATCTCCCAGGATCCCCTGGCCCAGCACTGTGTGTCCCAGCATCTCCTTCCTGGTGTCCCAGCCTGGCATCCTGTCCCAGCACTGTGTCCCAGTGCTGCTGTGCTGCCTTGTGTCCAGGCAAGATGAAATTTTTGAGGGAAATGGGTGTTCCAGGTTGGATGCTCTGCACCCAGGTGTCCCAGGATTGCCCATCCCAGGTTTACTGCCTGTTCTGCTGCTCTATCTCCAGGCTCTGCGACTCATCCCAGTGCTGCACATCCCATCACCAATCCCGACGCCGCCTGTCCCAGCACAGGCTCCTCTCTGCTGGGATCAAAGCCTCAAAGTCGGCATCCACCGGCCTCATTTTGGGAGAGAAAAGGTCTGTTTGGGACCATTTTTCCAAGTAAAACATTACCTAGAGCCTCTGGGGCAGGAGCTTTTCTATTTGCCTGCAGATGACCCAACAGGAACCACCATGGAGAAGATCCAGGTGATCCCAGCACCTGGGTGCTCCATCCCCATCCCAAAACCCCCACAGATGAGCTGCAGAGCACCTGGGAATATTCCCACTGGTATCCAGCATCCATCCCTCCCACACCACCTCCATCCCAGGACAGGACCTGGGGGATGGTGACCCCCAGTCGCCCATCCTCATGCCATTCCCTTTTCCAGCCCGAATTCCCAGGGCTTTGCAGAGTCCTCCAAGTCCCTTCCCTGCTCCCAGGAGGCCCCCAGCCTGCTTACACAGCGGTGGGATAACCAACAGCCCTTCCCCCTCCTGCCTCTGCTCCAACCCTTTTCCCCAAAATTCATCCCAAAATCATGCCAGGGGAGACGGGAAAGGCCAAGCATCAGGGTGGTTTTTTTGGGGGGTTGTGGGATGTTTAATGGAGTCCCCCAAAACTGTCCAGGTGTGGCTGCTGCCCCAAGGCATCCCAAGGTCCTGGCCTTGAGCAGTGTCACCAGCTTGTTTGGGAAAAAAACACCCAAATTTGGCTCCAGGTGTCACAGGGGGATGGGATCTTTGAGGGGAGTGAGGATTCTGGGCTCAGTGTGTCGTCCAACCCTATAAAACTTTGTGCTTGGGAGCACAGAGGGGCAAAAACCCCAAATCTGCCCTGGCAGGAGGGGCTGGGGCTGCACCCCAGGATGCTGTGGAGGGGGTGGTGCCAAGGGGGAACAGAGGGGGAGCCCCAAACAGGGGGGAAAAAGGGGAAAGGGGGAAGGGGAAGAAGGGAGGAAAGGAAAAAAAGGGGGGGAA